GGAGACAAAAAAACATTATCTATAGAGGCAAAGAAGGGAATGTATGAAAGTATAGTGGTACCAACTCTCTTATATGGGTGTGAAGCTTGGGTTGTAAATGCTGCAGTGAGGAGGTGGTTGGAGACAGTAGAGATGTCCTGTCTAAGAGCAATGTGTGGTGTAAATATTATGCATAAAATTCGATGTGTGGAAATTAGGTGAAGGTGTGGAGTTACTAAAAGCATTAGTCAGAGGGCTGAAGAGGGGTTATTGAGATGGTTTGGCCATTTAGAGAGAATGGATCAAAGTAGAATGACTTGGAGAGTGCATAAATCTGTAGGGGAAGGAAGACGGGGTAGGGGTCGTCCTTGAAAAAGTTGGAGGGAGGGGATAAAGGAGGTTTTGTGGACGAAGGGCAAGCATGCGTGAGCGTGTTAGATAGGAGTGAATGGAGACAAATTGTTTTTGGGACCTGATGAGCTGTTGGAGTGTGAGCAGGGTAATATTTAGGGAAGGGATTAAGGGAAACCGGTTATTTTTATGTAGCTGGACTTTAGTACTGGAAATGGGAAGTACAATGCCTGCACTTTAAAGGAGGGGAGGGGTTTGGGATATTGCTGTTGTATCTGGGTGCCTCTGCAAAAACAATGATTATGTATAAGTGAGGTGAAAGTGTTAAATGATGATGAAAGTATTTTCTTTTTGGGGATTTTCTTTCGGTCTCCCTGCCTCAATGGGAGACGGCCGACTTGTCAAAGACAAAGAAAAAAAAAACATGTAAACCACAAAAAAAAATGTATCAGGGTATACGACAAATTCTAACCATACAATAGAGTGGAAAAGTACAGTGGAACCCCGCTTAACGATCACCTCCCAATGCAACCAATTATGTAAGTGTATTTATGTAAGTGCGTTTGTACGTGTATGTTTGGGGATCTGAAATGGACTAATCTACTTCACAATATTCCTTATGCGAACAAATTCGGTCAGTACTGGCACCTGAACATACTTCTGGAATGAAAAAAATAACGTAAACCGGGGTTCCACTGTAATGTGAAGGACATGGGAATGATAATGTCAGAGGATCAAGCCTTCAAAGACCACAACAATGTATCTACCTCATCTGCTAGGAAAATGATAGGATGGATAATGAGAACCTTTAAAGCTAGGGGCGCCAGGCCCATGATGATTCTCTTCAAATCACTTGTTCTCTCTAGGCTGTAATACTGCTGTACACTAACGGCCCCCTTCAAGGCTGGCGACATTGCAGACCTGGAGAGTGTACAGAGAACTTTCACGGCACACATAAGTACGATAAGCACCTAAACTACTGGGAACGGTTGAAGGTCCTTGATCTGTATTCCCTGGAACACAGGGCGGGAAAGATACATGATAATATACACTTGGAAGGTCCTGGAGAGATTGGTACCAAACTTGCACACGAATGTCACTCCATATGAAAGCAAAAGACTCAGCAGGAGATGCAACATTCCCTCGATGAAAAGCAGGGGTGCCACGAGTACACTGAGAGAGAACACAATAAGTGTCAGGGGCCCAAGACTGTTCAACTGCCTCCCAGCATACATAAGAGGGATTACCAATAGACCCCTGACTGTCTTCAAGATGGCACTGGGCAGGCACCTAAAGTCAGTACCTGACCAACCGGGCTGTGGTTCGTACGTCAGCTTGCGTGCAGCCAGCAATAACAGTCTGGTTGATCGGACCCTGATCCACCATGAGGCCTGGTCTCAGACTGGGCTGCGGGGGCATTGACCCCCGAAACCCTCTCCAGGTAAACTCCAGGTAAATATATTGTAAGCTTCACAAGGAAATAAATATTTTGATTTAATATGATTTTGAAGAGTACTTTTGGAAAAGTAAAAAAAAATGTGGAAGAGGTCAGAGCAGCAGCTTCACCTGTGTAAAATAAAAAAAAGTTGAAAATAAATGTAGAATAAAATGATAATAGTGAGTGAAAGTATAGGAAATGAAGGAGAAGGGATCAAAGTAGAAGAAAGAAGAATGGAAGTGAATGTGTTTTGGTACTTATGAGTGCAAGTATCAGCAAGTAGACCTATAAAAGATGAAGTACTTACAGAATGAAAGAAAAAAAGCTGTAGGTTATTAAGAAATGTTTGGAAGGAAGTCTATGGACAGGCACTTATATACAAGACTGAAGTATGGTCTTTGCCAGTTAATGTTGCAGAAGTCAGAAAGTCTGAGACAGATAAGTGTCATGTTGTACATCCATCTCATATTTTGTATATACTACTACACCTGCATATCTCCAGGAATTTTCAAGATACTACACGAGTACCATATGTATTACACATGTAGCATGATAGGCAGAGCAGTTACATAAGACAGTCATCATGCCAAAATTTACATGATTGCATGTGTCATAATAATGAAAACTGTTTTTAGGATGTGTGTGTTTGTGTAGATCTTTGCTGATGTGTTTATTTGAGACATTTATAGCTGTGAAGTTTTGTGTACTTCAACCAGGCTTTCTTGTACGTGCATCTCCCACCACAGCCTTTCATGGCATTGCAACCACATTTACCTAGCTCACTGCATGTTTCTAATCCATAGGGAGCCAGGTTCACATGAGACAAGTTGTGCTGGCCGTTGTCCTGAGTCCAGCCTCGGCCCTCAGGAAATGAAGCTTCTTGTAGGGTTACATCAGTGGTCCAGATCCCAGCTTGGTGCCCAGCTCACTGCAAGTACTCAAACAATGCATTCTGCATAGGTAGGATATTTTTTGTTGATTTTTTCTTAGGGCATCTGTTTCTTTCCAGTGTCCTGGTTGCTGGTCTTGTCACTAAGGACAACTGTGTAGTGTTCAAGGAGTTTGAAGATGATACTGACCATGTTTAACTAACAATGAGGACTGATGACAATGTGACTTGAGGGTAGAACTTGCACACTTCCCATGCTGATTATGTGCAGATATGTGAAATTGTTACCAGTACCAAAGCCATCTGTATGATTACAACTAGACACACATCAGCAGAAGATAGAGCTTTTCAACCATGAGCACAACAATGGTATTCACTGTCTGAATTGGGCAAGCTGACAAGCCACACATTAATCCATCTTCCAGATGAATCACTGAGACTACATTGAGGCATGCTCTGTCCCCCTTCTCAGGAAGTCACTGTCTGGCCAGGTGATGACACCTTCTGTTAGGTAGGAAATCCATGCTTGCCATTTTGCTGGAAAGGAATCTGAAGGGTTCCTAATTGTTTGACTTGATGTGGTCAGCTTACTTCTGCCCCTCTTCTCTCTTGTTTGATGTCTTAATACTGCTAGTAATGTATCACATACCATGCCTACTCTGGTAATGCTCTCCAGTTGCTTCATGACACTTGGAAAACCTCCTTTGATGTATTCTGAGTTTTTCTACTCCCAGAGCCTGGCCATGGACCAGGCTTGTCTAGTGCTCTCCTGGTCAACCAGGATGTTCCTGCTAGTGGTTTGCTGCCCACCATATTGAGTGACACTGGCATCAATAACGCAGATCTACACAAGAGAAAGTGAAAGGGTTAAGGTGGTGACAAATGCTTAGCAAAAGTAGCAGAACAACCACACTCTGCAGGATCTTTATGCTAAATGAAGTTGGAGGATCTGGTGGCATAGTATGTATGGGTATGCATCTCCAGCCTCTTTACCAACAGTATTTTTTTTCCTGTTAGATACGGAAGGAGGATGTGGGTGATTTTCATGCTTAAAAAATGTGCCTGTCAGCCTGTGTGTGCTGTATCACAATATACAATCTGGAGATGTCCCCATCTGTCTTGTGACCAGCTAAGCATGTTTGGTCTGAATTTTGGGTGCTGGAGAACTGAACAGTTACACAGAGCTTTCTTTTATTGTCTCATGAACAAAGAAAGTGCAATCTACCAGCAATGACATGCAGTTTCTACTGTGCAGACTGTACTGACCACAAAAGCATCCACAACACTGCACTCTCAAACTCGTTCAGAAGCAGAGCTTGCTCAAGACCAGTCATCATTCGTTTTTTGAAGGCAGATGTAATTTGGGAGTCCCACAGGATCTCCTGAACTCTTGAGCATACCATCATTTTGCTCAAGGGCCTGGTCTGTTGGTATTCTTGAAAACTAACTCAAGTTTTTGAGATGACCCGGTGTCCATTCTCCATGAATTTTTTCCAGACGTCACATATGTACACAGGGATCCATCTGGCAGAGTTCTAGTGATCCAGGGAAAATATGAAGGGGGCCAGGGCTGCTAGTGACTCCAGAGAAGGCAAAATCATTGTTCTTAGTGAGGACTAAGATGAAACCTGGAATTCCTATGCTGTGAATGGTATCCTAGTGAGGGCAGGCAGGACAGACTACAATATTCACTTGGGCACACTGTCATCATTCTGCTGAACCACAATAATTCCAACTTGCATTCAATTTCCAGGGTCACACAAGTAACATGCATTTCCTCCTGATTTCTTTTTTAACAAAAAAGCACAAATAGTTTTTGGTCATTAGAATGCCCCAGAATAACCTGAGTCACTGGTCTTCTGATAAAATTCACGTACAGTACTGCCCATAAATAACTTTTTTTTTTTTCCCTTCATCCAGTCTGTCCCATGTTCTAAACAACATGGTCCTCAACCGAGTGGCTACTAGTGATCTTTGTGATCGTGTGTACTTTTATAGTGTAAACATAGTACTGTACTTAAGAAGACATTCAGGAAAACTAGCCATGCTTAAAGTTTCAAGGATGAAAAGTATTATGCCTTCATTTTTTAAGCCAGATGGAGATACTGCACCATATTAATTTTGAGAGAAAGTTAAGCAGTAAGTAATGGTGATAATTTTATCATCTTACCTTGGACGCTAGCAATAAAAAAAAAAAAAAAAAAAAAATAGAAAATGTTTATTAAATTACTAAACTGTCAGTCTGTTAGGAAGCGAGGCATAACTGCATATAAATCTTCTGCAAAACGGTCTCTACTGCTACATAACATTCACCTGTCTCAGTACTGGATGGAATGCTCTTACCTTTAGCCATTTTAAGCCATTAGGTCCAAGCTTCTCTCCTCTGGCAAACTGTAGGATTGAACGGAATACATCTGAACTCAAATGGTTGAGATATGGAGGGCAGGGGTACACACGACCTCGGAAGTCCATGTTGTGAGGGAACCAAAAAACACGATCACGAAGCTGTTAGGAGTGAATATCATTTGCATTATTTAGTGTGAATATTTATAAAAAAAACACTAGCAACAGAACTGCATTCTCATGATTACAAAATCAGAAGACATTACTCTAATTTGTCACAGACATGCAATGTTATGCTGCCCCTCAGCTTGATACTTCACTTAACTCGTGGAGGAAATTGTCAAGTCTTACTTTTACATTTCTGACTCGACCTCACTGATAAAATACAGTATAAAAAACATAAGTACAGGATGGCCATCACTAATTACATCACAGATTACAGAGTGGTTAGGTTAGAATACACTTAACCCAATGGTGATATTTATGCATTGGTGATTTCACCCACTTTATGCCCTATTTTTGGCCCTCTCCATTGTTCCAGTCTACCAAAGCTCATAGCTATTTCACTAGTATTCCTTCTATTCTGTCAATTGAGCACATGCAACAGCCCATTCACCTATTTAAACTACCTAATAAAGTGGTCAGAAATCAGTAATGTGGCCAATTTCACACAAATTTCAAAAGATGCCAATTTCAAAATAGGATCCAGAATAAAAATGCAGACATTACTAGCACTAAAATAACATTTTCTCTGTTCATTAGTCACATCACCAGAACCCTCTTATATTATGCTTGCTTTCCATTTTGAATTTTTATTGACACAAGAAAATAGAAGAATTACTCTTAAGCAGACTACTGCAATTTTTTTAATAATTGTATAAACAATGTCCACCCATTCATGACTGCATGTCAGACTGGCCAGTTGAACATATTGAACGGTGACGTTTGTTTACTCTTGAACATCAGCAAAAATTAAACATTTCTGCTACTTTGAGGTCAATTTCAAGGCACTTTCCAGCATGAAACCAATCAAAATTATATCTATTTCTGTAATACATCTTCCATTCTATCAAATAAGACCAAAAAAATGAGAATACAACCATACAATAATACACTGCAAAATCAGGTTTACACCATAAACATGGTTGCAGTTTTTTTCTCATTATGCACTACGTGCTGGATTTTTTTTATATAGAGCACACTTACCACACAAATTTACCAGTCACAGCTTATCTGAGTGAGCTGAGCTCATGGCGACTGACAGTGGCTTCAAAGCCACCTTATCTTTTATGGACAATGTATGGTGCATGTGCTTTACACAACGAGAAGCATTTCTTTTATTCATTGGAACTATGGCTAGGGCTAAAAGTGAACAGGTTATAATAATAAATGGAGAAAAGGAAATTGGAATGATTTATGCAACAAGTAGCACCACCAAAAAGTAGTGGCAGGTTGGTGTGGCGACCATGGAAATTTGAAGGAATGCTAGCCAAAATTAGTGCCAGATTACTGATGGAACCAAATTACTGATTACTGAATTAGTGATGGCCAACTTGTACAAGTACGCAATATTTTTCAGTTTTCTTTTCATAGCTGCATTCAGTTTTTGATGGTCCACAATCCTGTAAAAATTTTTATTAAAAGAAAAACACTCCCCATACTAAATGGTTATAACTATGACAATAATTTTTAAAGGGGTTCACCAGAAAGCCAGCAGAATGCCTCAGTCAGATGGCCAAAAGCTCCAATGGTGTGTCATCATCTACGACTCGCATCAGGAGACATTTGTTCTCTTTCCTGATGAACCTTACCTAACCTAACTGCCCATAACAGTGTTATCATGACTTCCATCCATACACAGTTTAACCCTTTCAGGGTCCGTCCAGTAGATCTACGGCTTTACGTTCAGGGTCAAAACCGTAGATCTAGGCCATGAGCTCAGCTCACTCTGATAAACTGTGAGTGGTACATTTGGGCCTAGATATGAGAGAATACATCTATGTGGTATGTGTGCACCACATAAAACAAATCCTGCAGCACACTGTGTATAATGAGAGAAAAAAACTGAGACTGTGATTTGCGATTAAAACAGCGACTTTGCAGTGTTTTTTCGTATGTTTTTTATAGTTGTATTTGCGATTTCTTGGTCTCATTTGATAGAATGGAAGAACATATTACAGAAATAGAGATGATTTTGATTGGTTTTAGCACTGGAAATGGCTTGAAACTGAGCTCAAAGTAGCGGAAATGTTAAAATTTTGCCGATGTTCAAGAGTAAACAAACGACCTCACACGTCTAATACACACCAGCCGGTGGGCCTAATATACATTCACAAATGTGGTGATGATATTTATACAATTATTACAATATTGCATAACAGTAAATCTTCTATTTTTTGGTGTGAATAAAAATTCATTATGTGAATAGAAAATTAAAATGGAATTTATTTGTAAAGCCTGAAAACGTATCTAATGAACAGAAGAAATGTTAGTTTAGTGCCAGGAATACCTACATTGTTTATTCTGGACCTATTTTGAAATTGGAATATTTTGAACTTTGTGTTAAATTGGCCAAATTACAAATTTCCGATCACTTTATTTTGTAGTTGAAATAGTTGACTTGGCAATTTCTTGTGCTCAATCGATAGAATAGAAGTAATACTAGTGAAATAGCTAAGAATTTGGTCGACTGGAATAATGTAATTGGCCTAAAATGGGAGTCAAAGTTGGCAAAATCACCGATTCGTAAATATCACTGACACATCAAAATTCGCAAGAGCATACTTTCGTCAATTTTCAATCAAATTTCGTACTTTTTGTTTTATTACCTTCACAAAAAGATTCTCTACCATTTCATAAGAAAAAATAAAATTTTTTTTTTTTAAATTCTTGAACACTGGAGCACCACTTCAGATTTTGGCCTTGGACCCTGAAAGGGTTAAGTCAAACATTAAAATGTAAATAGTGAAAGTCAAGATAAAACTAGTAGTGATTAGTGTCACATCAATGACAAAACAGATGCACAATAATGCTTCATGTGCTAAGGCAGACAACACAAAATACTATGATATTCCTCAATGCAAGTATTTACACAATTCTACTTCTGACTGCTAACAATGATTGAATTTTGAAGACAACTGTATTCCATTTTACTGCATTACTTTCATTAAGCAGTTTTGAATTTTTCCATAATTTTTTCCTACTTTTTTATTCGTGATCATGCAGCCCATACTCCAAATTTCTTATTGTTCATAAGAAAATGCACACTTAGAATAATGCTCTTAGCACTGCCAGAAATAAGCACCTATTTTATTTACTTCCATTACTGTTAATTAAGTAACTATACACAAATCTAGGTTATTGTATACTAACCTAACCTAATCAAGAATAACAAATATTAAAATTTCCAGCATATCTCAAGAGTACAGAAATGCACAAAGTGTCACTTAAGGAAATACTGGTTTATTTAATTTGGAAACAGGTTGTAACATGCATGCTCTTTTTCCCACCATATGTAGTCAATTGATCAAAATGTGTTTACAGTAATAACAGCAACTGAAACAGAATACCTACATGATTTGCAAGAGAAAGTTTGTATAATGCATCACACCAGAGTGAGTACATTTCATTCTTTTTCTTATCGTACTCCAAACATTGTCGATATGTCTTGTGAGCCTCAGAACTCTTCATACCAGGATGGATTTTCCCAGGCTCTGGGCACTGAGAGGGCGGCTGTGGAATGTTCAACTTTTCACAGCCTTTGTCATTGAACAGCTAGTAATGATAAAAAAAAAAAAAAGTATTTTAATAAAGATGTGGATTTAACCTTCCTTTATTTAGTTTTTTAGCTTTACCATAAAAAAACAAATGATAAGCACATAAAAGGGGCAATTACAGTAGGCCACTTATATGCAGGTAAGTCAGGCACAGCACAACCATTTCTACTATAAATGCATATAATCTAGTAAAGTTTTACATAACATATACAGTGACCACCCAACGGCGCACCAAGCAAGGCAAATTCATCTAACGCGCTTTGTGTAAAAAAAACAGCCTACAAATGGCGAAAATATTAACGGTTCGGTCTGGGGGGCCCTAGCGCTCAAGACTCAGTGTGCTTGTTTACAAGCCGTTGGTCGATCACATGTCCTGAAATATTGTACTATTCCAGTTTTTTAAGTCTTGTAACTGCTAATACACCATGGGCCCCAAGAAAGCTTCTAGTGCCAAGCCTGTGGTAAAAAGAGTGAGAATTACGATGGAAATGAAGAAAGAGATCGTTGAAAAATACAAAAGTGGAGTGCGTATTCCAAGTTGGAAAGGCTATACGTACAGCGGACCCCCGGTATTCGATATTAATTCGTTCCGAGAGCTCATCGAATACCGAAAATATCGAAAAGCGAACCAATTTTCCTCATAAGAAATAATGGAAATCAAATTTATCCGTGCAAGACACCCAAAAGTATGAAAAAAAAATTTTTACTACATGAAATATTAAGTTTAATGCAATAGAATAATTACAATAACAACAATAACAATAGAATAACTGACACTTACCTTTAATGAAGATCTGGTGATGGTTGATGGGATGGGAGAGGTGTTAGAGTTTAGAAGGGGAATCCCCTTCCATTAGGACTTAGAGGTAGCAAGTCCTTTTCCAGGGTTACTTCACTTCTTTTAATGCCACTAGAACCAGCTTCAGAGTCACTGGACTTCTGTCACACAACATATCTGTCCATAGAGGCCTGTACCTCCCGTTCCTTTATGACTTTCCTAAAGCGTTTCACAACATTGTCAGTGTAATAGTCACCAGCACAGCTTGCAATAGCTGTGTTAGGGTGATTGTCATCAAAAAAGGTTTGCACTTTAAGCCACATTCCACACATTTCCTTAATCTGTGAAGTAGGCAATTTCTTCAATTTCTCTATCCCCTCCTCCGAAGCAGTTTCCGCAGGTGTGGCCTCTTGCTGTTGAAGATGATCTAGCAGCTCATCAGTGGTTAGTTCTTCATTGTCCTCCTCCACCAACTCTTCCACATCCTCCCCACTAACCTCCAACCCCAAGGACTTCCCCAATGCCACAATAGATTCCTCAGCTGGCATAGGATTCTCAGGGTTAGCCTCAAATCCTTCAAAATCCCTTTTGTCTACACATTCTGGCCACAGTTTTTTCCAAGCAGAGTTCAAGGTCCTCTTAGTCACTCCCTCCCAAGCCATACCTATCAGGTTTATACAATTGAGGATATTAAGGTGATCCTTCCAAAACTCTTTTAGAGTCAGTTGAGTTTCTGTGGTCACTACAAAGCACTTTTGAAACATAGCTTTTGTGTACAGTTTCTTGAAGTTGGAAATGACCTGCTGGTCCATGGGCTGCAGGAGAGGAGTGGTATTAGGAAGGCAAAAACTTGACCTTAATGAAGCTCATGTCCCCAGAAAGTCGCTCTGCCAAGTCTGAAGGATGACCAGGGGCATTGTCTAATACCAGGAGGCACTTAAGGTCCAATTTATTTTCAATTAGATAATTTTTCACAGTGGGGGCAAATGCATGGTGTAACCAGTCATAGAAAAAGTCCCTAGTGACCCATGTCTTACTGTTTGCCCTCCACAGCACACACAAATTAGCCTTGAGGACATTGTTTTTCCTGAACACTCTGGGAGTTCTGAGTGATATACCAATAAAGGCTTCACTTTGCAATCACCAATAGCACTGGCACACATCAACATTGTTAGCCTGTCTTTCATAGGCTTATGTCCTGGGAGTGCCTTTTCCTCCTGAGCAATGTAGGTCCTGCTTGGTATTTTCTTCCAAAACAGGCCAGTTTCATCACAATTAAACACTTGTTCAGGTTTCAAGTCTTCACTGTTTATGTAATCCTTGAATTCCTTCACATATTTTTCAGCTGCTTTTTGGTCCAAACTGGCAGCCTCACCATGCCTAATCACACTATGCATGCCACTGCGATTCTTAAATCTTTCAAACCAACCTTTGCTGGCCTTAAATTCACTCACATCAGCACTAGTTGCAGGCAATTTCTTTACTAAATCGTCATGCAACTGCCTAGCCTTTTCACAAATGATCGCTTGAGAGATGCTATCTCGTACTATCTGCTTTTCATTCATCCACACCAATAACAGTCTCTCAACATTTTCTAACACTTGCAGTCGCTGTTTTGTAAGCACAGTTGCACCTTTTGCAAGAACAGCTTCCTTGATTGCCGTTTTCCTGCTCACTATAGTAGAGATGGTTGATTGGGGTTTACTATACAACCTGACCAGCTCCAACACACGCATTCCACTTTCGTACTTTGCAATTATCTCTTTCTTCATTTCAATAGTCAATAGCACCTTTTTTCTCGAAGGGTTGGCACTAGAAGCTTTCTTGGGGCCCATGGTGACTTATTTTGCAGAAACAAGCACCAAAAACAGTGATAATGTGGAATGTACCGAATGTATCCTTAGATGCGTGCACACTGGCTGGCTTGTAAACACTGGCACACATGGGGCAGTTCAGGCCATACGTGGACACATACGAATCGTATCGAATACCGGGTTTTCGATCGGATACCGAGGCAAAATTTTTGCGATATAATGCATCGAATACCGGATTTATTGAATACCGATGCCATCGAATACCAGGGGTTCACTGTACAACAAATCCCATTCAACCATCAGTACTATCTTGGACCTGCAAGAGCTTCAGGTGCAACAGCAATATATCACATCTCAGGAATGTTTTTCAGAGCAGGAGGAAGAGAGACGGAGGAAGATGACTTTGTCAAGGATTAGGGAAATGTGTACAATGTTTACAAAGGTGCAAGCATTTATCAATGAATTTTATCCTGTCACAGCTGCTGCAAGCCGTTTGGCAACATGTACAATGACACTTTTGTGTCCCATTTTAGGGAAATCCTAAGGGCATGTGAGAAACAGAGCTGGGCTGGACAGATTTTTGGTGTGACATGGGTCCAGTGACTCTCAAGCTGGTCCTAGTGGCATTAAAAAACCAAGAAGGGAGGTAACCCCACCAAAGGACTTAGTACTCGAAGTCTTTCTGGAAAGGGATTCCCCTTCCAAACAATAGAACACCTGCATCATCTGCCCTCCTACCGTCTCATCACTCATCAACAACTCCACAATAAAGGTAAGTTGCATTTAATTATTGTTTGTTTTGCATATCCCATTCATTTTTGTGTAGGGAAATGTATATTTCATGTAAAAAAAATTATTTTGTTTAATACTTTTGGGTGTCTGGAATGGATTAATTCTATTTCCATTATTTCTTATGGGGAAAATTAATTCGACTAACGGTAAATTCGACTAACGGCAAATTCGACTAACGGCTAGCTCTCTGGAACGAATTAATGCCGTTGGTCGAGGGTCCACTGTATTAAGTTAGCAATAGAACTAGGTATTAAAAAACAATAAAAGGTAAAATACACACTCAGTATTTATCTGAAAATACTATTTGTAATCTAAATATATAGCACTTTTGCGTGCTTCAAACATTTGCGAATGCCCAGCCGCTAAATCATATTTAAAATGTCATTACATATATCAGGAATTGTGGCAGCGGCAGAGTTTGTTCGGTGACAGGACAAGATAATCCTTCAATATGACACCAATATCAACTCTACGGCTTATTTATCTCTCACAATTGATCCAATATGACATAATAAACAATATTAATAACAGTAATAGCAATATTAATAACAGTAATAGCCACTCGTTACTAATATTAATAACAATATTAATAATGAGTGAAATTGTGGTGTTGTTGTTGTTGGGTGTATAAGGGCCACTGAGAGCATAAGCCGTACATAGTGGTGGTGAAGGCCAGCAGAGGCGGCGGTGTTCTCAGTAGCCCTACATACCTCCAACAACATTGGAGGAGTTAGGTTCGTGCTGTCCTTTTTCTATTGATTAATCGCTTAACTTACTTGCTACACTGTTAATGCTACACTTTATCACTGGCTGGTGCTATAGCCTTTATCAACTAGTGCTGCTTTAGTATCATACATATCACAGAATCACTGAAGAAGGCATATTCTCCCCTCTCTATTCCTCCTCCACTTTGTTACTCTGCTACAAGTTCTTTCTTGAATTCTATAGTCTTTCTCACCTTCTTTACCAAAGGGCTGGCACTAGTACAATATTTTACGATGTTTTCCTGTGTTTTATGATTGTTCATGGTTCAATAGGTTAAGGAAGCAGTACTGTTGGCTATGTAAATGCTATTATTATATTTCCCTACAATATATTTGTGCACCATAAATTCACGATTTTTCAACATTCGTGAGGTTCTTGATCCCCTAACCCTCACAAATGTTTACCTGGAGTTTACCTGGAGAGAGTTCCGAGGGTCAACGCCCCAGCGGCCCGGTCTGTGACCAGGCCGCAGAGGGAGGGAGGGAGAGAGTGGAAGGAGACCTGTAGAATTTATCTTAAAATTTATCTTAAAAAGTCAGGTGTGGTAGGTATGGTAGCCCTCCTGGCCACCCCACCCACATGTAATATACTACGATTTTTAACCCTTTGAGGGTTTCGGCCGTACTAGTACGGCTTACAACCCAGGGATTTTGATGTACTAGTATGCCTAAATTCTAGTGCCCTTAAATCTAGTGGGAGAAAGCTGGTAGGCCTACATATGAAAGAATGGGTCTATATGGTCAGTGTGCACAGTATAAAAAAAATCCTGCAGCACACAGTGCATAATGAGAAAAAAAAACTTTGACCGTTTTTTTTGGAATAAAACAGTGACTTTGCACTGTATTTTCG